TTTGAAACTTTGGAGGTCATCTGAGAGGAAGAGGGAAGGAAGAGGGGAGGAGGAGGAGGAGGCGGAGGAAGAGGGGAGGAGGAGGAGGAGGAGGAGGAGGAGGAGAAGGAAGAGGGGAGGAGGAGGAGGAGCAGGAAGAGGGGAGAGGAGGAGGAGGAAGAGGAGAAGGAAGGGGAGGAGACGTTTCTCCAGCGGCGTATTGCCCGAGAGCGAACTATGCTTTAGCCGCGTCGGGACCCTATCGGACCAGACCACTTATTGTTTTTTCCTTTAATTACAAAACTTCGAAAAGTCCTTCACCTCATTTCTCGTTCATGCTCGTCCCAGCTGTCAGCCGATCTCTCTCTCTCTCTCTCTCTCTCTCTCTCTCTCTCTCTCTCTCTCTCTCTCTCTCTCTCTCTCTCTCTTCCTTCCCCATACACACTTGGGGGAGGGAATGGGTAATGAGCGGAGTTTGGGACGTATCGAAAGCCGGTCGGTATCACGTTTTGACGCGGATCATTTGTACCGGGATTGGCAAGACGAGCCTCGGCAAGCCAGTCGGTATCGCGACTGGGTCTTCGAGCGCACAGATCACACGAAATGCAATGCAACTCCGAGCCACAGAAAAAAAAAAAAAAAAAAGTAAGGAAAAGTAGAAACGAATATTGAATACCGATAGACGCGCACGCATACACGCATGCACGCATGCAACCTCTCACGTCCGTACAAACCTCTCACGTCCGTACAACCCTCCCTCACCACACACCCACACACCCACACACAAATGGGCTTTAAGCCGTCAACTTCCGTCATTTTCAGCGCCGTTAAACGCTGTTAAGCGCCTTTAAACGCTGTTAAGCGCCGTTAAACGCTGTTATGGGCCACACACACACACACACACACACACACACACACACACACACACACAGAGGAAGATGGACGCACGCCCGTGGGTACACTCCCGCGCAAAGACAAAATGCAGAGATGCAAACGGACACAAACGGACGCTAATGGACACAAACAGACGCTAACGGAAACCGGTAGATAAGCTAACGGACGGCTTGCTTGCCCGCTATACGTCGTTCCGGGGTATACCGGTCGCCTCTCCACAAGTGCAGAAGTTGCGCAAAACTCCCACAGGAAAAAGTAACAAGTATCCCAAAAAAACTGTGTATTATTCGATCTGCAACTGGTCATCAAATGTAAGAAGAGCCCACTACTAAGACACACACACAAAAAATAAAAATAAAAATTCTGGAACGGAAAAAGATTCTGAAACGGAAAAAGTTCGAAGAAGAGGAGGCGGTTGACTAGGGGAAAACCGAACCGAATTCTTGAAAAAGAGGACAGAAGATCCTTATCCATAATATCCATATACCGCGTTTGGGGTCCCGACTACTAGCGGTAATGGAAGGAGAGAAATATAGAAATATAAATATTCTTACTCCTCGACTCCTGACCGCTTTCCGAGAGTCTTGCCTCTCCTCTCCCGGGTCCTCTTCTTCTTCGGTTTTTCCCTTTTTCATTCATCGCCGTCGCATCGTTCTCTCCTTCTCTCTCATGCCCTTTCATCCATCGCCGTTGCTTCTTTCTCCCCTTCTCTCTCATTTCACACCGAAGCCATAGCCGAAGACTACTACTTCCCTCTGCATCACCTCTTCTCTTCGAATCCTTCTAATGCTACTACTTCTATAAAAATTGCTTCTGCACATTGCCCTCCTACAGCTACCATTCCTCCTCCTCCTCCTCCTCCTCCTCCTCCTCCTCCTCTTCCTCTCTTTCTGCTTCTCGTCCTCCACTCTTGATCCAGCTTGTCTTCTTCTTCTTCTTCACCACTGCAGCTGCTGCTGCTGCTCCTCCTCCTACTTCTCTTCTTCTAATACTCCTTGAAGTTCCCTTCCTGCGACTCCTTCCACTTGCTCGGCGCCTATTTATCTTTCCCATGACATTGTTCCAACTGATTACGTGAAACGTTCTGGTCATAAGCGTGCTGCCGCGCTCAACGTCGAGGGCAGGACGAACCTATGACCCTCCTCCTCCTCCTCCTCCTCCGTCTCCGCCTCTTCCTCCTTCCTCTCTCCTTAACTACTAAGTCTCCCAACCCTTCGTCTGCAACCCCTCCTCATGCAGATGACTTTTCTTCATTTACCCTATACACGCGCGCGCACAAACACACACAACTCTTCGTCCTTTTCTTCTTCTTCTTCTTCCTCCTCTTCCTCCTCCTCCTCCGCGTGAGGGACCAGCGAGTGCTGCTAATACTTGTCAATGACTGCGTGTTTAGTAGCAGTCTATCATCAGAACAACCCCAGTGACGTGGGCTTTCTATCACTCCTCTATCACCTCCTCCTCCTCCCCTTCCTCATCTGCACCCTCCAGCTGCTGCAACTGCTGCCTTCGATCTTCCTCCTCCTCTTCTCCCTTTGCAGATCGCACCCCAAAACTTCCAATTACAAACTCGTCTTTATTGATCACCAATCGGAACCTAATCACGGTTCGTACCACTCCCGCCTTCTCGTCCTCCTCCTCCTCCCCCTTCTCTCCCTTCTCTCCCACCTGCTTCTCCTCCTCGTCACTTGGCCAATGGCGCCGACCAAATCCATCACCTCCTCCTCGATAGCCATGCTTCTTCTTCTTCTGATCACGTCTGCCAGACTGACCCTCAACATTGATTACCCCGACCCTCACCTCTGTCAGCCTGGGATAAAGCCCGACGGGATCCTGACCGTTGGAAAAAGTACGGGCAACGACCGGTCCGCCGATCGGCTGCACGATGCTTCGGCACTTGACCTCCCGCGACCACTGGACCAGGTTGTACCGCCATGCACACGTCCACGTGCAGACGTACCTGCCACGTGGCAGCGCGCACGTCATCAGCCCGCTGACGTGGAACCGTCCCCGCCTCAAGCACACCAGCTCGATCCCTTCCTGAAACGGACTGTCCCTGATTGATATAAGTCCACAGAACGGTTCTTTAACGCGCTCGCCACGGCGATGAGAGTTCTGGTGAAAGTTCTGAGCAGTTTGGACGTCCATTTGCGTAGCGCAGAAGTTCACCGACAAGGCGTTCGTCGTTTTGTCCACGTGGTAGTGAATGTGCGGTCTAACGCAATCGAAGAACCCGTCAACGAGTCGGACATAGCTCAGCATTAACATGTCTCGACTGATGACAGAGTTGCGTACAGGAGCAGGATGAAGACGGCATATGCGATGATAACCAGGAGGGACGAAGTGCTGCCACGTCAGATTAGATCGAGAAGCGCGCGCAAAAAGTGAGCATACTCTCGCTGCGCGCCGAAGATCGCTTACCGCTCCCAATCTCCCCAACACCTCACTAATTAAACTCTCAGGAAGACTTGTGATTTGCGTATCACCCCCTCCTTCCCCTCCTCCTCCTCCTCCTTCTCCTCTTTCTCCTCTTTCTCCTTCTCTTTCTCCTCCTCTTTCTCCTCCTCTTTCTCCTCTTTCTCCTCCTCCTCCTCCTGCTGCTGCTGCTGCTGCTGCTGAGATTGTTGTTCCCGCTGATGATGATGACGCTGCCCGGCGGTCCGTCGCCACGTGGACGCTGCTCACGCCGTCGGTATCCCCATGCATTCCTGACGTGGCACTTGAATTGCACAAGGGTGATGATGATCGAATGGCGTTGATGATTGCTCGCGTTGCAAGAGGGCCCATTTCCGGCAAGTGCCTTCTCAGCAGTCTGTCGTAGAACAGATTTTCGAATCTGCGCATGTTCCTGCCCGTCAGCCTGTCATAGTCATAATACACTCTAATGTTCGCCGCGTCCTTTTTTCTAGACGACGAAGAGTGGGGATGGGAGGAGGAGAGAGTGGAGAGAGCTGACGCGGCATCGCGTGAGGACTTGGCGGCAACAGCAAAACTGCCATCACGGGGGGAGGCGTGAAGGGAGGAGGGGTTGTTGGGATTGCCAGCGGGATGAGCTTGACCAGGGGTTGAGGATGAGGGGTCGTCAGACTTGTTAAGAGGAGAGACAGGCGCAGAGGCAGAAGTGGCAGCACCGCGCGTGGCAGAAGAAGCAGGAGCAGCGGCTGACGAGTCGTCCGCGTGAAGGCAACTTGTACGAGCCATGGCTATGGCTCTTCCTCCTCCTCCTCCTCCTCCTTCTCCTCCGCGTCCTCTTCCTCGTCCTCTTCCTCGTACTCCGCCCTTCCTCCTATCACCTCGGCCGCCGAGGCCCTTGTTAATATCGGAAGGACGGCCAAGGCAATTAAAGTGGCCCCCTTTGCAAGCGCAACTAAGAGAGGAAGTGACCCCAAGAGAGTTATCAGAACCGCAGCAGGGCTGGCTGGCAGCAGCCCCCATTCCCGCGGACCAGCGAGGACGAAATTCTCAGATAGGAACAACCTCAACTAAACCGCGCAGTATAATGCACCTCTCTCTCTCTCTCTCTCTCTCTCTCTCTCTCTCTCTCTCTCTCTCTCTCTCTCTCTCTCTCTCTCTCTCTCTCTAAAACACACAAGCACACCCACACCCACACCCACACTTTCCGTGTGTGTGGGGTGGGGGTGGGGATGCCAACCTCTCTCTCAAACGCATACGCACAGAGTTTGACCTGCCAATCCCTCTATCAATTACCAATCGATCAATGTCACCCAAGGTGGACCCACTCAGAGAGGAGAGGGACCCACATTCTTTGCCTCTGTTATGCAGTACCTCTCTCTCTCTCTCTCTCTCTCTCTCTCTCTCTCTCTCTCTCTCGCCAGCACACAAACACTCTTCCTCCCGCTCACACACACACACACAAACACACAGGCAGAGACACATACACCCTGTCGCACACACACACTGGCACCCGGGAAACAGAGGTGCTTTCCCAGCCTCTTAGAAAACGTCTCTCTCTCTCTCCCAGCCTCTTAGAAAACGTCTCTCTCTCTCTCTCTCTCTCTCTCTCTCTCTCTCTCTCTGTGTGTGTGTGTGTGTGTGTGTGTGTG